CCGGGACCTGACCGCGGGCCTGCTCCGGAGATTGGAGGCCTCTGAGGAGGAAAGACTGGTGTTTCTGAACCTTTTTCATCACATGGGCAAACGTTGCAAAAGCTCTTGGTCATTGAGACTGGCAGGCAGTGACTCCGAGGGTCTCTCTTACTTCAGGGCCGAGTCTGAAGTAGCCAAGGACTGCGTTGGGACAACAGCTGGTTATTAACTTGTGTCCATGGAGGTTTCTAGCTCAGCTGGCTAGAGCTAATCCAGGATAAACACTACACAAGATCCTGAGGAGGCAAAGGTTTTGCTTGTCAGGCAAAATACCTTAGAAAGATGGTCCCACTTACTTCGGGGTTATCATCTGGTAGATAATTGAAATTGCTTCTCTGTTGGGGGGGGGCTTCAGTTGGGGGCAATTTGAAAATTTTAGTGAATATCTGGTAACCAGAGAAATGGGAAATAAGGGACTTATCACAGTTATATTATGCCTTTCACTTTGGGAAGACGTGCATCCTTGTGGACAAGTGGGAGGAAATTTTCCTTTTTTTTTTTTTTTCTTTTTTGGTCTTTAGTATTTTCAGAGCCCTGAGATTTCTAGCTGTGTATGCCTTTTTCCAGCTTCACTACTTTGTCTGTCTTGTTTGGTATGGCGTTTCAGGTGCTTTCTTTGGTTAAAACTTTGCCCAGACAATGAAAGCATCATTGATCACGTTCATTTTTTTTTTTCTGCTATTGATTCATAAAGCTGTGAGCAGTGGCCTCGGAGCAGGCTGCCTACAGGCTGGGGGGAAGGATAGCATTATCTCAGCTGCCATTATGAATTCAGCTTTATACAGGAAGGCTTTCACGTGGCTGTGCTAAATAAAAGCTTGGCGTTCATATAATGATGTTTCCCCCTCTTACTAGTTCACCAAGAAAAGCAACTTCCCTTGTTACAAGGGAAGTAAGCAAATGGATTTTTCAAGGCCTGGCATGTGGATTATATTACGTTCTGGAAGCTGGCTGATACTTTGCTCTGGCAAGTTTGGACTATTGTGTGATTCCCACGGCATGAGGAAGATTAAAAGATCTTGCCTTCTGCTTTGTTTTTTAACTTGGTTTGATATCCCTGGGCCCCCCCCCGCTAAAACAATAGTGAAAAATAAGGACACTTAATTATGTTTGCCAACATGAAATGCATGTTCTGCCATGGGAGGTGGAGACAGGGGAGCTGAAAAACACAGACTTCTTGAATGAGTGAGTCACCGTGACAACACAACTAAAACCTTGCCTTTCTTCTCTGGTTTCAGACAACCATTCCCAAACCTCTTACTAGGTAAGAGAGAGCTTGTCCTGGGCAAACTGTTTTCAGCATTAAGAAATTCTTTGTTGTCAAGTCTGCCGGTACTGCTCTGGGGCTGAATAGCTGGGGAGTAGGGAGTTAATAATTGTTCCTGCGTCTTTGTACTGTTCCTGAGTTGGGGCCTGTTTCCCTGAAACATATGGCAAAGGTGCGAAAGATTCTTATTCAGAAAGGGACTGGAAATAACAGACACTACTGCTATTCATTGTATGATCTGCTTACAGTTTCTGTGAGATTAAAAAGATGGGCCTCGTGATAGAAGTTGTTCCAAGATAACTGCATGACTGAGCTGTGTTTGTGCCAGAATGTAGCAATGTCTTAGCCTTGAGGTCTCTCTTTAAGCTGCTTACAGAGCTATAAAATTAATGCCGCAGGCTTTGCCCTAGAGTGGATGAGGAACATGCTCATGAAACAGCATCTACTGGCTCAGCTCTAATAGTAATGCTCAGCAAAGCATGAGGGAAGCAGCATAGCCATATTTTGCAGTGTATGCTTGACACCCAGGATTATTGCAGTAACTCTGCAGAGCCTCAAAATACAAAGTTTGAGTTTGATCAAGTTTGGACAGTGCCCTACAATCCATGTGCCTGGAAACATGTTTTGTCCATGGGCATTTTTAAATGCTAGGTCACAGAATCATAGAATAATTTAGACTAAAAGAGACCCCTGTACGTCATCTAGTCCAACCTCTTGCTCAAAGCAAAGCTAACTTCAAAGTTAGATCAAATAGCTCAAAATTCAGCTGACTTAAAAATCTCTAAGGATAGAGCCACAACAACCCCATTGGATAGCCTGGTCCACTGCCTAACCACTCTAATTATTATCACCCTGTTATAATAATGAGGAGCATTCTCACAGGTGGTTCACTCAGAGGTGGCCACTCAGATATGTATTTTGGTTAGTATATCCTCAGGTGAATATTTCACTCACAGAGTAGATGAGCTCACTCTCCCTCTCAAAATTAAAAAAGTTTGATACTACCAGAAAATAATTATAATTTGGAACCATGTAATCTTTAAGTTAGTCAAAATTCAACCTTGTGCTGGGTTCTGTGCTGAAGCATGTTTAAAGGAGTGAGTTCCTGTTCCAAAGAGTTTCCCATCTAAGGAGGCCCAGGCAGACCCAGGCTCTTTAGATGCTTGGCAATTGGTTCCATCACGTGCTGGGATTTGCAGAGGAGCTAGGAGTTCCCTTTAGCTCTCCCCCATTTCCAGTGGCATGCTTTTAATCCCATGGTCATCCTTCTGCCCTGAAGGGATGAGGACAAAGGTCCCACCTTTCTTATTTTCTGCTCTCAGCACTAGTTCAAGTCTTGCAAATAAGAATAAATGTATGCCTTACTTAGGTACAGACTTAAGTCCTTGAACAGATGGGAAAAATTTAAATTCTTCTGCTGTCTCATCAGGAGACTGCCTGCAAATTATCTAATCTTACATAGTGACTGTAGCTTTAAAGAATGTTTTTCATTAACACTACATTTTCTATGTTAAAGCATACTGAGACCACCAGCTAATTCCATGGTGCCCTAAAGAACTGTTGGGTAGATTGGAGTAATAACGAGGAAGGCAATGCCTTGTTTTTATTTCAGCAGTCCCTCATACTATCAGCCCTAGTTTACCTGACTTTATGCTGATGACTAAGCATGCTTCATAATTTAATAACTGCAATATTGATCTAAACAACTTTAAACAAAAAAAAAGCCACCCTGCCTAATTATGTTAACTGGTGAGCCTTGAGGGGTCTTGTGGGTACGTAACATGCAATTAAATACTACCTAATTAAGAATTTCCCTGATGTTGTGATAGTCTCTTGAGTAAATGCTATTTGCATGTCTCCATTCTTATCCAAGAACATCTTGTATTTTACTGATTAGCAGTTTGTGCCTGGTCTCCGTGGTACAATTTGGGAGAAGGGAAAGTGAGGTGGGGGGCGGTTTGAAGCATTTTGTAGGCTTTCATGAACAATTAAAAAAAATTATTAATAAAAATCTGTTTAAGCGGTGTTTGAAGTTACGACAAAGTCTAGGCTACTCGGGGTGAATGCTCAGCAGATGTGCTAGGGTACTGCAGTGGAGCAAGAGCTCTGTCTGATCGTAAGCCAGCGACATTGTGGTGTCTTGGCAGAGGGGTATGAGCCCCAGCAGATGCGTCACTCCTGTTGATTTCCTGGCTGTGGTTCACTCATGTCACAGCTTCATTGGTTATTAACTCTCTTCTCGAGCAACTAGTTTGGTATTAAGTTAGAGCATGGATAGATGTTTTAAGTCAATGAATGCAGCAAGATGTCAGTAGATCTTAATTTATTTTTTTTTAGTGGCTTAATGCTCCTATCTGCATACAGCTTTCCTGTGTCCACTGAGTAATGTAGCCTTTTGTTACTTACTCATTTCCCAATTTTTTGGGGGGAGTATGTGGGGGAAGGGTGCTTCAGAGGGGTTTTGGTAGTGGTGGTTTTGGTGTTGGGTTTTGTTTGTTTGGTTGTTTTTTTTTATACTGGGGTAAGTATAAATGCCAATTGGAGCCTTTCTCATAGCTAGGAAAAAATGGAAGAGTGCCTGTTTCCCATGGATCCTCTGATATGTCTGGGCTTCAGCCTTTCTGTTCTGAGGCTGCTGATAGAGCCTGTCTTCCATATTCTTGTTTTCACAAATGTTTAGAGAGTAAGTATGAGTGATTTCCCTTTGAGATTGGCCAGCAGGCTCAAAAGCAAGTGAAGTGCATGGGGATGTGTATAGAAAAAGACTGAAGTGGTATATTCTTGTTCCCATTTGCTGTCTTAATAAACATGTAGAGTATGTCTCCTTGGTTACGGAAATGTCAAGTGCTGGTGAAGAGAATCCTTGTGTCACTTGTTCCAGTAAGATGCTTTCTTCTTGGATTTGTCCCCTTGAGCGCAAGGATCAGGATCATTAAGGACATTTGCCAAGTACAGAATCTGTGACAGCATTATCTTATTGCTGCTTAGAGCACTGCCAGCATTTGGGCCCTGGTGGCTTCACAGGTAGTGAAAAGGGCTGCGTACTATGGCAGGATCGGGTTTTCAGATTCCTGGAAGATGCCTTCAGGTCTGTTAATATTGCAGTGAGGTCAAACCACTGCTCTGAACAGACTGGAAGGAGGTAAAAGGAAGATTTACTGAGGACTAGAGTGAAATTGCTGGGAGCTGCAGGCATGACTATCCATGGACGTCTTGGTGATGGGATGCCAGATTGGTCATGTATAAACTGTGCTAGCATAGTGTGAATCAGATTGCCTGGCTTTCTGTACAAGCTCTTCTGGTGTTCTGAAATCAATAACCCATTTAGAAAAGACTAAGTGGGCCCTGAATCAACTGTTGTCAGAGATGACAACAACAATGAATTACTACAGTGTAGCACCACAGGAAATACTCCGCAACAGAAGGAGAGAAAAAATGGTTTTGTGTCTTCGCTTTCCCAGTTGCTACACCAGCTTTCTGCACGGGTTCATGGGTCCAGGGCCCTCTTCCACCCATCCCTTGGAAACAAGATGGTGTCGTTTCACATTGATCCTCCCAGAGTTCTCCCAACTTGCTGACCTGTCTTCCTCTCTTTTTTTGTAGGCCATCATTCTGGTACACTGGCTGCTCACAGTGTGGTGAGTGATTGGTAACTGGCCTGGCCTGGGTGAGAAAGGGGTATTCCTTCAAACTAGGAATGGGACATTCTCAGGGAATCAGCACTCCCTGTTTGTGCCTGTCTGTGTGCAAGAAGATCCTAAATCTAAGAGTGAGGTGTTTGTATGGGAACAGGAATGAATGCAAACAAGCTGTTGCAGGCTTATTGTGAATATGGGCTGGGGTTTTTTTTGTCTTGTTTGGCAGGGGATGCATGAATTACATGTTTCCAGCCTCCTATGCCTGGGGAAATTTCACTGTCCTTGCAGTGGGGATCTGGGCCATTGTGCAGCGAGATTCTCTTGATGCCATCATGATGGTGAGTATGAGGGTATTTGCCTCCACCAGGTTGCTCAGGGAGAGGGTGGAGAGCAGAATCAGCTTCTTTGAGTCAGCGATGATTTTCAGCTGTTCCCAATACAGCCGTGAACAAGTCAAATTCACTGTTTGGGTTGTTTTGGGTTTTTTTAAGAGAGCATATAAATCTATAAGCACTGTAAACCATGGTGAGAAGCATTCACTATCACTTATTTTGCTTTTCAGAGTTGAGGCATACTTGATTCTTACTTTTTTTACCTGCTGTTATGACTTTTGATGCCAGAGGAGGACTCAAAGCATTTAAGATGCTTGAATTCGAGGGGCTTTATAAAACCCTTCTCTGAACATTAAAGAGATTGGCAAGCAAAAATAAACAATCCTGAAGCATATCATGAGAAGATATCTGACATGAAGAAAATGCACAAAATACAAGATCAATCATCTAGGAATTTCTGTCTACCTGGGGCAGTGTCAGGGGTTAGCAATGAGTGATACTGGGGTGAAGGCATGACTATGTGAACACAGATTTCGCAGGAAATAGATGCTGTAACTGACTGTTACTCTTAATGGTTAATCCTCTATTCGATTCATGACCCATTCTCTCTTTCTTTCCAGTTCCTGACTGGCCTGCTACTCACAGTCCTCACAGACATCATTCACGTCTCTGTCTTCTACCCTCCAGACTATCTCACTGATAGGAAGCGTTTCAGTATAGGCATGGCCATCTTCAGCCTCCTCCTCAAACCCGTGTCCTGCTATTTGGTGTATCGAATGTATCGGGAGCGTGGAGGAGAGTACACCTTTAACATAGGTAGGATGCTTCCTCTACCTCCATGTCAGTGTGGGCCACCTCTGCTGGTGTTAGGGAGGCTGCCTTGCACTTCAGACCCTTCAGCCTGAGCTCTATGCAGCTGGATTCTGGTGGTTCTGGTGTGTCTTAGGCCTTAAATTTAATTCTTCCTCTCTTCCCTTGCAGACCTGGCATCCTCGTCTCACAGCCATTTTGCCCACAATGGTATTGATACCACTGCTGTCACTCTTATTCAACACAACTGAGAGGCTTTTCCTCTCTTTCTCCTCCTGCATTTGTGTGTCCTTGTTGGAAGCCTTTGGGTGTCCTCTCTTTGCCGACCCTTCCTCTTCCTTCTGGGAGAAAGTAGAGGGATTATGCATGAGAGGGAAAGAAGCTGGATTTCTAACTCCATGCTTTCTCTGGGTCTCACATGTCCTAGCTACCCTGATTACTTTGGACCTCCATTTCCTCACCTGGAAAATGGGACTGATGTTTACCTCCTGGGACTTTGCCTGGAGGCACTCATTTTTCTCCTGATTGTACTTACTAATGATAATGTGGCAGCCTTGCTGGAGAGAAGGGGCTGTGGCTGGATGTTCTGGGTGTTAGTCAATTTTGCCAAGCATGCCTGGTGCTAGTTCATGCCGGGGCAGCTGCCAGGGACTGTTTGCCGTGTGAGAGTCCACTATGGCAAAACCAGCAGCGTGGCACAGTTATCTTTTTCTCTGCCTAAGGAGGCTGTGCAGGACAAAGGATGGTCTAAATGCATTACAATGTTTGAAAGCTGTCACTTGTGCTGCTTTGACACTATCAAAGAAGATAACAGAGGTGGAAGCCTGCAAAGGAGGAGAGGCCATGGAAGGAAACCGTGCCTTGGGGGGCTATGTTGTTATTTGCATCTCTCTGCTAGTGTAATGTGGATGTCGTCTCCATCAGCTACATGTGCAAATGCCGGACAGATCTGTCTTAACTGGGTCAGAAGGCCTGTGAGTCAACTGTAGTGCCTTGCTCTGGGCCATGTTTGTGCCATTTTTTATTAGCTGCTCACTGTGCTTGTAACTGGGATTTGACATTTGTATCCCATGGAAAGTGTGAAGTATTGTTGAGGAATTCATCCCTTTGCTTGGAATCTGGGAGCACTCCTTTTCAACTGCACTATCCCAGCACAGGCATGATACTGTCTGAGAGTCTCCTCTCAAGCACAGGTTGGAATTCAGACACTTTGTAGTTTCATATCCTCTCCTGAACTGTCTTTCTCACAAGATTTTCAGTACAAACTGTGTGCTGTTGTTTTGTGTTGAATGTGGTTGACAAATTTCCTCTGTCATTTTCCTGCTATCTGGCATTTTCCTTTTGAACCTAAGTGTTGCGTTTTTCCTGGTCTTCTCTGTCTCATTTTCTTTCCGCACAAAATCCCTTTTTGTTGCTTGGTACCATCCTTGCTGCTTAGAACAAGCCTCTCATATGGTTTGGTGCCCACCTTTGATTCAGATTGCTTTCTCACCATGGCAGATTTTAATAGCTAAAGAGCTGTCTGTGCACATTCTCTGTCTGTCTCTTCTTTCCCTGCTGATCATCTGGCCAGTAACATGATTTTGTACCAGTCTTGTACCACAGGCAAATTGTTCATAGTGCAGTTGGGAGCACTGATGGATTCAAATTTAGTGCCATGGTGTGGCACTCTTGAAGCGTATCTGCTTTGTTGGGAAGAGTGGTTCATGGATGAATCATGCTCTTAAATCTATGCTGTCAGCTAGCCATGGTTCCTGCTGTTTCTGTTTTTGTCTGTTCGTTTTTCCAATAGATCTCATAAACTTGATCTTGCTGAAATACGCTATTACAGGAGCCTGTTATACTGCTATGTAGTATTGCAGGTCTTGCTTTCCACACAGCCACGTGGCTGCTAAGAGAGCAGTTCTCAGGGAATGAAGAGCCATGTCCAAATGTATCCTGGTTTTTTTGCCTTTGTTGGAAGGGTGAGTTTTCTTGCCTCCTGACTGTAGTGAGGATCACAGAACACAGGTGCTAGGGAGCTGGTAGGGCAGCTAATGTGGTGTGCTCCTGAGCTGTTGGTTTCTTCTAGGGGATTCAGTTCTTGTGCTTTTGGTTTTTTTCCCAAGCTTGTTTTCTTCCATCTCCATTCAGGTGTCACCCGTGCAGGCCAGGATCGCAGCGCCTATGAGCCAATTGATCAGCAGGATGCCCCTCCACAGTGGCCTGACTCAAGCAAGACAGCCCAGCAGCCGTACTGAGGCCCTCTTGGCAACAGAGAACAGACTCTTCCCTTGCCCAGTCTAGCCTTCCACTCTGCCCATGTCCGTTCTGATGGAGCAAGACCTGCTACTGAGAAAACAGGAGAGGATCTGATTTTTCATTTCTTTTGCCTCCCCGAAGGTTAGGCAGATGGGTTCCTGCAGTAAATCCAGAAGATCTCAGAGATGTCATGTTAAGCACTGTGACTCTTTGTAATCCCAGTACTTGCCTTTCCTGCCTCCCCCTAAATACCTCCTCTGTATGTACGCACCTTTTGCAGTCTTCCAAGTGTTGTATTGTGCATCCTCTCTGTTGTAAGGGAACCACTCAAAATATTCCTGGACAAGTTATCTTTAAAAGCCTTATGGACTGCCCTTAAACAATACAGTTTAGCCTGCTTTTATGCAGGTACTCTTCCAGCAAACATCTGGGAGTCCTGAGGGCTGTTCGTGATGGTGTTATTTAAGTAAGATTTGTGACCATAACTCCCTATGCTAGCTGTGGTGGTTTGCAGAAAGCTGTGGTTGGTATAAAATGCTCTTACTGGGCCAGGGAGCTGTTTGTGCTCCCAGTATCTAGTCTTGGGTTTTATTCACTGATGCTTTTATGCAAGTTGAATGTCCTTCAGGATACTTAAAATGGCTGCTGAATGTATGTTATAGATAACCTGTGCCTTGAAATGTCCTTTTGCCTTCAGCTGCCTATCTTAACAGAACTTGAAATGTTACATTTTTCTAAGAAAAATATAAAACAAACACAGTTTTTCTGTGTTAGAAAAAGTTACACTGGTCACCTATGTCTCATTTTAAAACGTAGGTATTCCTGAGGGTTTGGGACTATAGCCAGGCAGTCTGGGAGAGTCATTATGGGGGAAGGTCTGCAGGGCTTCGATGGCTTTTAGTCTAAGCTATACTCAGACAAGTAGAGAGTACCTCTTGTAAATATGTGGGTGGGAAGGTGGGCTAGTAAAATAGGATTGGGGAAAGGAAAAGATGGGTTTATTTACACTGCAGTGGTGAGCTCTGTGGGGTGTGACAAACTATAAATGCTAATCTTATGCACAATAAATCTGCTCTGCTGTGGCTTTCAGGTAAAATCCTAAAGAAAAAAAAATCAACAGGATTCTTTTTCAGAAGAAAAAGAGTACATTAGATTTGGCAGAATGAAAATACTAATGCTATAGAAAGATCTGTGCTTTTCTGAAGCAGGCTCATTTTCAAAGTTTACATCTGTTACTCTACAGTTGCTTTTCTCTTGACAAGACCTGCTGCTGCGTTGATTCTTCAGTGACCAAGAGTCCTCTTAACTTTGCTGTAACCTCTAGAACCGTGCCATTTGTATTTTTAAAACAAAGCAATTCTCTCCCAAGTTTAATCACTTTAAACATAAGCAAATGCTTCCTCCGCTACGCTGCACAAGCACTACAGTGACCTGCTGCTGGACCTGGACCACCATTTATGCTTGGAGCAAGCACATGGTAAATGCCATAAAAGTGCAATAGTCTGGTTTACTCTCCTGAAATGAGTGTTATGTATTCATTTTGCAGGCAGCCATGCAATACGGCATAGGAATAGGTGATCAGATGGGTAAGAAAAAAGAATAGGTAGGTGGAAATTTCTGGGGCTTGTGGAGTTGCAGAGCAGGCCTTTATATTCAGTTGATGGTTTTTTCAGCTCTTGAGAGCTGTACAGTGACAGCACGGATCCCTGACTAACGCATTTAAACACTCAGGTTTTTTCTTCCCTAGACCTGTGAAGCACAGACTGAAAACAACTATTTTAAATGCAACACTTTTTGTGTATTTGCACAAAGAGTTACATCTAGCGAGGCTTTCCCAGCCATTCTCCGTTGCGAAAGATGCTGCAAAATCTACTGGTACACCTCTAGCTGACCTGCTGTGTACTTTTCTGTGGAGAATTCAGCACCTCTGGGACCTCAGGGGAGCAGAGCAAGGCAGGAGTTATGGTAGGCTTACTGTGTCTCAAGGATACCTATTTTGAGCCGTAAATCAGAGAGGTGGTGATAAAAACGAGGCCCCTCTCCTGGCTTCTGAGGAGGAGGGCATTTGTTTTGGCAGTGCTTACAGTAAGCACCAATATGCTCTTGGATCAATACCTGGTTTAGCACGGCGTGTGGGGATTCATCGAGCCTGTTGTGCTGGAGCATGGCCTTGCTCATCCCAGCAGCCTGACTTCACCGCAGGGCTCTCTGTAGCTTGTCCTCAGGGTCTCCTCAGCCAGACGTGCTGCAGGTGTGAGATGCTGCTCAGGGTTTTTTTTGCTTTGATTTGTTATTTTTTTTTTTTTAAATCCTTGAGTC